TCACGGAATTCTGCAGGAATTTATTGCAGCGCATACACGTAACTTCGAAAGTCTATTGATACGAGGTCCACTGTGTGCTACACATCAGGGTAGTGCAAGGACGGTCATTTACGTGTGAATTAGTTTTGAGTAATAATAAACTTGCGCAACATCTATCGCGCACTCTCTGACCTCCTCCACCTGTGTTCGGTGGATTTAGGCGTGTCCACGATGTGTTCCACAGCGGAGTGGTACAGGGCAGTGACTTTCGTGTTTAAGTGAAAGTAGACTTACGCAGCCTCTACCGCTCTCTCTCTCCCTTTCATCCGCCTGTGCCTGATGTCAAGGTAGAATCAAGATGAGCGGAGGTAGGATAGGATCCAGGTAGCTAGCGCGGCCGAAGCCAACCCTATGTGTGCCACCAAGCCCCCCTCCCATGTTTGGTACTTTTTATTGGGGCACAACTTGAATACGGCATTCCGCACACTGATCTGGGTCCCGTTTTTGATGCAACGCTGTCCGTTTAGGGGATGCACAAAATATGCCGGCGGAATTCATGCACGTTCTTTCCAGTAAGATCGAGTGAAACTCTTGGATATATTCCACTAGAAAATCCAATCAACAACGTGGTCAGGGTATACTGGCGATCAATTCGAGGCACTGGGAGAATAAGTAACAGTAGCCAACTTGTCCCTAAAGGTTATTGTGCCTGACGAATAGAGTCGCATAAACGAGACCACGTTGTTTGTTCTGAAGCATATGAACGTGCGATCACTGGAATCGTAGGTTTACTAGCCGGAGAGTCAGGAACATCCATCATTAGAGAGCGTGTAAACACAACAAAAAAGTAGTCCTTATTAACTTTCTCGTCATGCGAACGCCCAGAGGTGGACCTAACATCATTGTGCATGGAAAGACGAATAACGAGTACCCAGTTTATTAGCCACCATTACGATCAAACGATGGTAAAAAAACGAGGCTATGCCAGGGCGCGCTATTAAGATACAAAAGTGCAGTGTAATGAAACAGAGTAAGGAATACAAATTTTACGGCAACTTTGGAAGCGATTCCGAAGGAAATAATACTCAACAAATGTATTCGCTTTTGCATCCGAACGCATCCACGAAACACTAATCTGAGAGACTGACCAATAATTTGGAACAGTATCATGTGTAAAAAGAAAGGTGACAGAAGTAAAATGACGTATTGCTGCAGAATTGGGCGTCGGTATCCAACATCATCGGAAAGCTACCATGAGTACGCGAATCATGCAGATGAAAGGGCCTTTGGATGCTGGTGAGCTATCGGGCGATCATGGCATGACCAAACCCGCCGTTATACAGGTAAGAAAGGACGTAAGGTTAGCTCACGAATACGAGTAACCAAACAGATCGTTTAAGGTTTTGACTCAGGAGACAAATTGGACCTAAACTCTCGATTAATTGAACTTCGATAGCCAGTATCGTTTTGTCCTCAATATCTGGTTCTTCCTCCCGACCTCAGGCGTTAACGATGAATGCATATGCTACTGTCATTGATAAGGTGGTAAGTGTTCAGAATAAACACCTGTGTCCCATCTAATTGCAAGAAGCAATCAGATAATCGTGGTAAAGCGAGTTGCCCACTATGATCCTTTTTAACAAGGAGTATCCGACCAATATGTATCGATGGAAATTGCGAGTTGAAAATTTTAAAGTTTTTCGGCTTTCTAAGAAAGTCTCAAGCAATGATACGCATGACTATTTGGAAAAATCCAGTGGCCTACTAGATTGCACTTAATAGCACGTGTTCTTTCAGACTTATTCGCAAACAGAAATTATACTGATTTAAATAGCAAGTTTTGCCTTTGCTATTATTGCACTCTCTTAGTTATTCATGCGGTAAGTCAGTGTCTTTAATTGGTTAACATTTCCACTCCATCTCAGAGGCACTGCCGAAATCTGGGTTTATAGGACTCCCATCGGCAAAAGAAGTTTAAACAGGGGTCCTCATATACTCCCAGCCCCACCAGTCTGTCTTACGGGATCAGCAATAATAGGGATTTTTTGAGTGGGGAATTAGGATAGGCTGTGAAGGAAAGTCGAAGAAGTAAATGTATGGTAGTAAACCACATTCGATTTGTGCAGCATCGAAGACGCGATGCAGAATTATGTTCGAATATATTTTGATAACTACTATATGCATTTTACATAAAAATCTCACCAGTATAAATTGACGTTGTAACTTATCATACTACACTTACGATTTCGGTCTACACCTATAGACCTTAAATATACTGATATATTCCGCGAACAGAAATTAATTTCTCAGGATATTAAATAGCTGAACTTTCAAAACCGGTATATCAACCAGAAAGCATTAAGGTAAAGCTGGGGGACCTACTGATGAGCCGGACCCCTCGCTGCTGTGTCAAGCAGCGACAGAATACCGGAAAAGCACGTGTCCGGGCCTTTCAGAAAGTACCTAGGCTGTTAGTATGGTAAGTTACAACGTCAATTTATACTA